GCTCCGGAATCGAATAATGTGTGAGTTTCCACACCACCTATATTTAAGGTTCCTACACATTCCCTTAGAATGCTAAGTACCCTTTTCCTTTATGCCTTATGATGCCATGCAATGCATTATTAAACCATATAACAATTTTCACGTACTAGTGATCGAGCTGAAATTCCCATCATCAGTTTCCTCGGAGAGCTCATACACCCGTGGTGCGACAGCCTGCCTCTTAGGTGGTGGTGGTAAGTCATTCCCACCACTGTTTCCATTATGCTCCGATTTAAACTTAGGACATTCCCTCTTGAAATGTCCCGCTCTCCCGCAGTAGTAGCAAGACTTTTGATCTCCAACATTTTCTTTCGGAGTTCCTACATCATTCCGGGGACAATTTTGAATCGCATGATCCCTGCTTCTGCATCGACCGCATGCACCAACGGCCTTCCAGTAGACTCCACTATGATACTTTCCACAAGTCTTACATTCTCCATACTTAGTATCAGATTTTGTATTATCCACCTTGTCCCACTTTCTTTTGTTGTCGGTGGTTTTGGTAGTGGTACGTGCTGAATGCTTCTCACGTTTCCATTGTTTCTCTTCCTCGAGCACCACTTCAATCATGGCCGCCTTCTCGACCAATTCAGACACCAAAGTGAATGTGCGAATCAAACAATGAGTGCGAATCTCAACTCGCAATCCTCGAATGAATCGGCGTACTTGGGCCTGCTCATCCTCCAGCTCCTTTCCAACAAATCGCCTAAGACGGTTGAACTCTTCATCATATTCCCGGACGGTTTTATCTCCATGAACCAAATCCAGATAGGAACATTCGAGTATGTCCCAAGCTTCCGGTGGAAAGTATTTCTTGTTGAATTCCTCAACAAAATCCGCAAAGGTCTGAATCTCTTCACCCATGCGTTTCTCAATAGACAACCACAAATTATGTGTATCACCTTCGAGGAAGTGCACAGCAATGTCCTTCCGGTAGTCCTCCGGACAGCGAGTGGAGTTAAAATTTCTCATAAGTCTACTCCTCCATTCATCGGCCACAATCGGATCCGAACTTCCCGAAAAATGCTTGGTTCCCAACTTCGTAACATGGTCAAGCAAAATAAGATAATCACTCCTTTTCCTAAAACGAGTTGTTGGCGCTTCCTCAGTACTTCTGACATTAATCTTGTTAATTGTTTCTTGTACCTCAGGATCCGGTACAAGTGCTTTAGTCAGTACAGCCAACTGTGACATCATTGCTTTCATTGTATCCCACTGTTCTTCAGCCGAGGGTACTCTATTCATATTCTTTTCCTCCACAGACACCCCACTACTTTCCGGATTCGCATTTTCCGAGGGTTTTTGTCCAGCCACAGGTCCGGCTGGATTCTGTTCATCAGAGCTTCTCATGTTCTCAGCTTCCTCGGTTCCTCGCGTTCTCCTAGTTCTTATTGTCTCTTCGACAACATCCTTACCCTCGCTCTTTTTATCTTTCTTGCCGCTCTTACTGTAGCATCTGTGTCCGGGTATTCTAGTCGAGCTTGTGATCGAGGATTGAGATCAATGCTCGAAAGATTATCGAAGGAAAAGCTATGGATCGAAGGTTTATCGATAGTGATCGATATTCATCGATGGAAATCAAGTGTACCAAGAAAACCTATGTAAGCTGAAGAGTTTATCAAGTGTTCCGTGTTATTTGGAGAAAACTGACGGTTATTCGGTCCGAGCGTGATTTTCGGACAAGGGTGGTCGGTAGCCGACAGGTCTGGTCGAGAGTCCGACAAGCTTGGTCGAGCAATTATCGATGTCCGAGATGATGCGTGTGAATTGTTCGAGAGAATTGGCGGGAACGGTTACTTTCTTGAGAAAACACGCGGATCTGAGTTAAGTGGCGGTTACTTGACGGTTTCGGAAGGAAGAATCGATTAAAAAGGAAGTTACTCGATATTCTTCGTCACTTATGTTATGTCTGCGAGAGAGTCTCGATAAAAAGGGAGAAACGAGGAGATTTCTTCGAGAAAAGGTTGAGAGATGGTGATTGTGAGTCGAGTATGAGTGGTTATCGTCGAGGATGAAGATTCGTTGATGATCCTTATCGATCAACGAGCAGTTTATCGAGGATGTGGTTTCTGGGATCGACTAGGGTCGATAGAAGTTCATGTATGATGGAAGATCTGAGTTTTATCGAGAGTATGAGCAGTTTATCGTCGATAAACAGATGGAGTATCGTCGAGAACAATTCTGGATGCCGAGTTCTAATAGAAATCTGTTAAGATCGGTCAGTTCTGCCTAATGGTTACTGGATACTGTCGTTGTAATCGTGATCGACTGGCGGTTATCGAGATCGAGTAGAAGTGTTCGAGATTCTGGGATGATCGGTTAGTTTTGTCGAGAAAGCTGTTCGGAGATCGAAGGTCTTAACGATGAATATCGAGAGTTTGGTTCCGTGAGTGAGATTGAGGAGTGAAAGTACGGATCTGTGTATGGATCAGGATTATGAGTCATGATCGAGAGTTCTGTCGAGTGTTGATTCATGATCGAGAGTTTTTTGGTTCGATGATCCGAGAAGATCATGTCCGGATGTTCTGTTGGTCGAGGAGGGTCGATCATGTGTGTCTGTTGATCGAGAGATCAAAGGTTCTGATCGGAGTGGTGTTGATCTGATTAAGTGTTCTGTAAGTATGTTCGGTGTGATGTTGATTCCGAACATCTCTCTTTGTACTTAGTCATGTGGGGATGGTTGGCTGAGTGACTATGTACCGAGAGAGATGTTGGATGACTCATCGATGGCCGAGCGGTTATGGAAGCTGCTTCGGAAGCTGGAGCATTGGAGTATCGAGAAGACTCGTGGATTCGTGTGCATTGGTCGGACGAGTTGGTTCGATAAATGGCCAAGGTACGATTGAGTTAAGTTTAATTATGTCTGTTGTTGATTTTAATCCACTGCGTAGGTTGTTCTAGTTAAGTTGTTAGCTGGAATCGGTTTGTTTTGAGAAGTTTTGTGGAAGTTGAATCGTCGTCGGAAGTTTATCGGAATTTTAGTCTCCGGCGAGGTAGAATTTCTGTGTGTTCTGTGGTCGGAGTCCTAGTAGCGAGGACGGGGTATTATAAATTGGTATCAGAGCGTAGTCGGTTCTAGGACAGAGTCTTGTATGGAATCTTGGCTTGTCTAGTTCGATTAGACGCGGTTAATGCTATGGAAAAGCATTTGTGATCTGCTTAGTATACTTGATCGGCGAGATGATCGAGTAAGAAGTTGTGTGGTTAAGGTTTTCTGAGAATGTTAGTGCATCTGTTCGGAAGTCTGAGTTGGAAGGTGTCTAGTTAGTGATCGGAAATCACTAAGTCGGAGAGATCGAGTATCACTAAGTAACTAATTTGATCAATTCATCGGGAATGGTTGATCGAAGTCAGTTGGAAAATGGCTAAGTATGGAAGTTAAGTCATTGGGTCTGAAATCTGGTTTGCAAATTGGGGATTTGTTTAGTAAGTTGTTAAGGCGTAAGGAAGCTACCGAGCAAAGTTCAAGGTTGAAGCTAAGCCGGTTCTCGAAAAGAGTCATGTGAGAAGGATCACTTGTAGTGATGGATCACGCTAGTCTTGGAAGGACTTCTGAGCGGTGAACCACTATGAAAGAGCTGCTGTGAAATGACTTGGAAAAAGTTAAGTTTAGAACTTACTTCACCAGAAGTAATTTATTATTAGTATTCATGAAAATATGGATAAGGCAATGGATTGCTGGAAGTTATCCGGGAAACGTTTGAGGTTGATCTAGTTTGCTTAAGTGTTTTTAGCAAGCGATAAAGTTCTTGGCAATGGACTGTCGGGATTGGTAGGATTTGGTAAGAATGTGTAGACAGGAAATCTAACATTCCAAAGTTGTAATGGACGAGTAAGTGCGGCAAAGGAAATGGAATTCCTTAGTGATCTCGTCAAGGCAAAGCAATTGCCGGAACGTGAAGTGGGGGAGACTTCACAAGAACTTTGTTGGTGGCCGAGTGTCAAGATAGCAATCTTACATTGTCGGATGATCTGGATTGAGTCTGGTCTGTTCAAGTATTCAGGATTTCATTAACGGTAATGAAAGTTTCAATGTTGGAAAATCTTGAAGTGTACCGTCCGGGGCGGGAAAGCAGAATGGATGGTTACTAAAGGTTCTGGAAGATCAGGTCGGAGAGTAAGATCGCGATAAAGCTAAGGATGATTGGCTAGGAAAGTCATATCATTGAAGTCAGGTAACCGGTAGTTAGTGTATTGAACTTCAGTGGGATTGATGGTGTGATGATGGGAGTTTGAGGCCAGTTCTGTTGGCGACGTTAGTCGCCATGTGGGTTTGCTAAGTCGTTTCCTGTTATGTCACTCTGTCGAGGTGATTGATTCATTTTACTCAGGAATCAGAATGGGATAACACGCTTGGAAGCATGGATGCTTGCTAAGGTTTGTCTTGTTTTGAGTTGCCTAGTAACTTTGGATAATCATGCTCGGCGAGTTCTGTGATCGCGTACTTGGGAATTCGTTGAGTTCGCTAAGACGATCTTGTTTGGCCAAGATGAACTGCCCATAGTATCAACCATAATACGCTCAGAGTGATGGTTATGAATCTGATGCATCGTCTACGGGAACTTTGAGGGTTTGCCGAGACATGTAGGTTTCATCGTCGGTAGGAACATAGAGTGTTCGCCGAGATGTGTCTGTTATGTTGTCAAAATATAAATAACAAACATTTCCTTTTAAGAAATCAAAATTAAAAAATTATTGTACTTTTGTATACTATACTATTTTCATTGTTTAACAACTGAACAACTGAAATGAGACGTATGATATTTTGTTCTCATAGGTGACTAATTAACTACTCATAACGACAAAAACGAGTTCGCTATGGTATTTTAGAAGAAGTGTGGAACCAAAATAAAGTTCCAAATAAAACGATCAGTTACTTACTTGCATGATGAAATATAAGATACAATTTCCAGTTTGATGATGAGATATAAGAATCAACCTCTGAAAAAAATAGAGAAAACACGTAGTGACATTTAACAAATCAACACTGCGATAAATTCTTGGAAAAGTAAGTATGTACTATTGTAAATGAAGGGTTAATTGATTTTTCTCGAGAAGGAATAGTGTTTAACTTAGGAGAGGCGAATTGCATCCAAAATTTGTAGGTTCCGAAACAGCAATGGGAAGTCGCATCACTGGAAAATACTCTAAACTTCTTAATTCATCAAAGCTAGCTAGACAAAAACCAAATCGTAACTGGTTCAAAGATTTCTGTTTCTAAATAAATTTGCCTAGTAAAGCAAAATAAAACGGAACAGTGGAGCATGATCGAAAACCCTTAACCATTGTTCATTGAAGCTACCTAAAAACGTAACAAAGGAGAAGACTTACATAAGCATACGTCCGACATAGAGTGCAGCCTTGCGCCATAGAAGATTCATGTCTTTTACCGTAGAGAGCATCCTAGCGCTGCATTATTACTTGTGTTGGTTTAAATTGAAATTCAGTTTAGTAGGTAGTTTTGTCTACCTGTATGTTATAGAAACAGAAAGCCAGACAGAGCTCAGTACCTTTCTCAAAGGAAATGTGAACAATATCAGGTCAACAAAGTGATGTAGAGACATGTATGAAACAAGATAAACAACAACACCAAAACATCTAGAATTTCTTTTAACTATGGTTGTTTTCATTGATAGTAGCCTAAACATTAAACGTATAAGCTAATAACCACATATGAAGTGAAGACAATTCACAAAATATGAAGTTAAAAAAGGATTTGGTGAATACCACATAATATGAGAGATAGGACAATTGCATGGACGAGCTGCATAAGAAAATTAAAGCAAACCCCTTATCTGAAATTTACTACGTATTTTTACCAAAAGCTCATGAAAATGACTGACATGGAAAAATTCATGTTCTGATTTACTTGTTTTTATTGTAGATAATCGAGATTAAGTGCGGTGTAGCAAAGAAGCAATACCGTTTACCTTAGGTGAGGAGGATTGCATTCTAATTTTGGCGGTTTGAAACAGTTATAAGGAGTTGGCCTAGAATGAAAGCGTAGTTTGCAAAGGATTCTTTGTGCCATGGCAGAACTGCATATACAACAGAAATTAAGAGATAGTGATGATGAATTTCTAGTGAGATAGTGATGCAGGTGTGTGAATGAAACAGAAAATAAGAGATAGTGTTGCAGGTGTGTGAACGAAACAGAAAATAAGAGATAGTGATGATGAATTTCTAGGATACAATTTCTTGAAAAAGAAACAGAGAAAACACAAGCTGAGAAGTAAGTCATGGAGTTAGTCAAAGAAATATCTGCGACTTACATGTATTCTCCACCAAGACTCCCCCCTCCATGCCCAAAGTAACGCCTTCAAACCTCGCTGGCACATTAAACGTTTCACGAGAAGAGGTATGTATCCAAATTTTACAGGTTCTGAAACAGTAAACAAAGAACAAACAAGGAACAATGCAGTAGAAATTCACAGTCTAGGTCCCAAAACGTAACGAATGAGAAGACTTACATTTAATAAGAAAAGGCGAGCAGCAAGTCCCAGCTATGACATTCGTGTTAGTCCCTAAGACTCTAAAGGCCTTATTCCATTGAAGCTATAGGGAAACGAAATTTGCAAAGATAATAAGAGAAATATTTAGGAGTTGAACTGATCCCAACGATTGCTGGTTCAAAACCAGTCATTGAGATAAATGGACGAATTAATTGTGTAAGTAGATTGCAGAGTAGAGAAGACGTCCCAAGTAGAGCAAAATAAACAGTGAACGTGGGAGCAAATCGCAGTCCAGTGGATCCTAAAATTTCTGAAAACCCCTAATCTACAGCTAGAGAAAAACGTAACGAAGGAGAAGACTTACATTAGCATACTTCGTATTCTAAGAAGAACAAAGAGAGCGGTTTCCATTTATATTGATCTACCCTTGCGCCAGCGATTCCCAGCGATTACATAAGCATACTTACACTACTTACATTAGCATACTTCGTATTCTAAGAAGAATGAAGAAAGCGTGGTTTTTTTTTTTTATTAGTGTATATGTTCTTATAGATTTGACATAAATTGTAAATAACTGAAATTACAAGGTTAAGTTTATCAAATACTTACTTGATTCAAACTGAGATAGTGATGCAGGTGTGTGATGCAAGTGTCCACTGTGATGAAGAATTTATAGGATAAAATTTCTTGAAAAAAAAACTGAGAAAACACAAGCTGAGAAGTAAGTCATGGAGTGAGTGAAAACACAAGCTGAGAAGTAAGTCAAGCTGAGAAAACACAAGCTGCCACTTACATGAGGGAATCTAATCATTCGTTTTTCTAAGACTCCACCCTCCATGCCCAAATTAATGCCTTCAAACCTTGCTGGGACATGAGAGCATCCTTGCAATTCCACAAAGGAAAAGGCGAGCAGTAAACCTTTTACCATTGAAGCTGGAGAAAAATGTAACTAATGAGAAGACTTACATAAGCATACGTCCGAGATATTACAGAGGAAAAGGCGAGCAGTAAGTCCCAGCTATGACATTCGTGTTTGACCCTAAGACTCTGAAGGCCTTATTTCACAGAAGCTATTAAAAAAACGAAATTGTCATAGAGAACAAGAAAAATAGCAACGAACGTTTACACAAGTAGAATGGATCTGCTTCCAACCATTGCTGGTTCTAAACCATGGGGGTAGATAAATCCCAGAAAAATTAGTAAAAAAACATTACAAGTTTTCATGTTTTGAGGATGATTTTTTTGGTAGGGAAAATATAAAAATAGAGTGAGTAGTGTAAAGTCAGAAAAATAAGCTGTATTATCATAAATTCATAAGTGTTGAGCTGCCAAATTAAATACGTGTATGCTTTGGTATCATTCATCATTAAGTTTTCTTTACTGGAAAAAATAAAGTGAAGAAAGTGTTGTAGAGACAAGCGTGAAACAAGATTAACAACAAGATGAACAACATCTAGAGTTTCTTTTAATGTAAATGTTTTCATTGGTAGTAGCTGTAACAATAAACCTATTTGCTAATAAACACATCTCAAGTGAAGACTTTTTTTTTTCCCTCAAATCTAGATTAATTGCAGAGCAAAGAAGGCATAGCGTTTACCTTAGGTTAAGAGGATTGCATCGTTAATTTGGCTGTTTTGAAACAGTAATGGGCAGTCGGCCTAGAATGAATTTATAGTTATGCAGTGACATTGCATAAACTAATAATAGGCTAGCAGCATGTCCTAGCTCTGCAATTTACAATCGGATCAGTTTACAAAGCGATGACCTTTTCTCCACTAAGACTCCAGCCTCCATGCCTTCCTACGACCTTCAAACCTGGATAACGTAACGAATGAGAAGACTTACATAAGCATACGTCCGAGATATTACGTAAAATGTATATTTTCATAGATAAGTAGAGTGGAACTGCTTCCAACAATGGAACCAGTCGTGAAGATAAATCCCAAAATTATTGGGTAATTAGTTTTGATAGATTGCAGAGTAGAGACGTGCCAAGTGGAGCAAATTGCAGTCCAGTTGGTCCTTAAAATTCTGAGAATCCCTAATCCACCGAAGCTACACAAAAACGTAATAGGAAGGAG